AAAAAAAAAAAAAAAAAAAAAAAAAAAAAAAAAAAAAAAAAAAAAAAAAAACCATTCTGTAGGATTGGTGATAGTGTCCCTTTTGTCATTCTTGATTGCATTTAAAAAGAATTTTCTCTTTTCCTTTATTAGTCTAGATAGAGGTCTATCAATCTTATTTATTCTTTCAACAAACAAATTTTGGTTTTATTGATCTTTTGTATTTTTTTTTTGCCATCTCAATTTCATTCAGTTCAGCTCTTGTTTTGGTTATTTCTTTTCTTCTGTTAGTTTTGAGGTTAGTTTCTTCTTTCTGTAATTCCCCTAGGTGTGATGCTAGGTGGTTAATTTGAGATCTTTCTAGCTTTTCTATATAGGTGTTTAGCACATAGACTTTTTATCTGAATACTACTTTAGTTGTATCCTAGGGATTCCAGTATGTTGTATCTTTCTTTTCACTAGTTTCAAGGAATTTCTTGATTTCTGCCTTAATTTAATTGTTTACCCAAAAGTCATTCAGGAGCAGGTTGTTAAATTTTCATGTAATTGTATGGTTTTGAGAGATCTTCTAGTATTAATTTCTGTTTTTATTATGCTGTGGTCCAAGAGTATGATTGGTATGATTTTTATTTTTTTTAATTTGTTGAGAATTGCTTTATGGATTGGCATGTGGTCAATTTTAAAGTATATGCCATGTGCAGATGAGAAGAATGTATATTCTGCTGTTGTTGGGTAGGGTGTCCTGTAGATGTCTTTTAGGTTGATTTAGTCAGAAGTTGAGTTTAGGTACCAAATGTCATTGTTAGTTTTCTGTCTCAATTATGTGTCTGATACTGTCAATGGGGTGTTGAAGTCTCCCACTATTATTGTGTGTTTATCTATGTCTCTTTGTAGGTCTCTAAGAACTTGTTATATGAATCTGGGTGCTCCAGTGTTGGGTGCATATATATTAGGATAGTTAAGTCTTCTTTCTGAATTGAACCCTTTCCAATTATGAAATGGCTTTCTTTGACCTTTCTATCATTATTGGTTTAAAGTATGTTTTGTGTGGAATAAAATAGCACCCTGGCTCTTTTTAGTTTTCTATTTGCTTGATAGATTTTCTCTATCCTTTTACTTTGAGCCTATGGGTGTCATTGAATGTGAGCTGGGTTTCTTCAAGACAGCATACAATTGAGTTTTGTTTCTTTGTCCAACTTGCCACACTGTAGCTTTTAAGTGGGTCATTTAGCATGTTTACATTCAAGATTGGTATTAATGTGTGCAGATTTGACCCTGTTATGTTTTCGTGTTTTTAGCTGCTTGTTATGTAGACTTGATTGTATAGTTGCTTTACAGTGTTAATGGTCTGTGTACTTACGTTTTTGTGGTTGCTGGTAATAGTCTTTTGTTACCATGTTTAGCATTCCTTTAAAGACCTCTTGTAAGGCAGTTCTGGTGGTAATAAATTCCCTTAGCATTTGCTTGTCTAAAAGGAATTTTATTTCTCCTTTGTTTTTGAAGCTTAGTTTGGCTGGATATAACATTCTTGGTTGATATTTCTTTTCTTTTAGATGCTGAATATAGGTCCCCAATTTCTTTTGGCTTCTTCTGAAAGGTTTGCTGTTAGCCTGATGGTGTTCCCATTTTACGTGACCTCACCCTTCACTCTAGCAGTCTTTCATATTTTTTCTTTCATTTTGATCTTGGAGAACTTGATAACTATGTGTCTTGGGAATGGTTGTCTTATACAGTATCTTGCAGAGGTTCTCTGAATTCTCTAAGTTTGAACGTCAACCTTTCTAGTGAGGTTGGGAAAATTTTTGTGAACAATATTTTTAAATATATTTTCCAAGTTGCTTGCTCTTTCTTCCTCTCAGGTATACCAATGAGTTGTAGGTTTTGTCTCTTTACGTAAACCCATCTTTCTCAAAATTTTTATTCATTCTTTTTTATTCTTTTTATTTGTTTCTGACTGACTGAAATAATTCAAAATGGTTTTCAGGCTCTGAAATTCTTTCCTTAGATTGGTCTATTCTGCTTTTAATACCTCTGATTGTATTGTGAAAATCCTGCAGTGAGTTTTTCAGCTGCATGAGATCAGCTCTGTTCTTTCTTAAAGGGCTATTTTGTCTTTCACTCCTGTACCCTTTTACTGGATGCCTTAGATTCTTTGAATTATGTTTCAATTTTCTCCTAAATCTGGATGATCTTCATTGCCTTCCACCACCCTGCGTGCTGACCTAGGGGATGTTTCCTTCTGCTCTCAATCTCTATATCTTCATCACCAAAGAGAACCCACTTCTTAAGAAGAGAGTCTAACTGTTTAAGTTGCCAGAGTTTTTGTACTGTTTTATTTTCCCATCTGGGTGGGGTGATTTTCCTTTAATCTTTTATTGTTCTTGAAAGCTTTATTTGTATACACTTAGGATAAATGAAAATTTTATGATTTAGCTAAAACTTCATTCTTTGAAAAGTAATATTTTACACAAGGAGAAGTTAAGGGTACTGGCTCCAAAGACAAAGCCTAAATTCAAGCCCAGTTTCACCATTTACACCAGTCTCCTGGTTTTACATAGTTTCCTTATGACATAAGGTACTCAATGACACATGCCCAGCACACAGTAAGTGCTCTGTAAGTGTAGACGCTACGAATTTAAGCAGCACCACTGGTAAACTAAGTTCAGATATCAGAGGTGGATACTATTTATACAGTTGAGGTGATGCCATGGTGAAATTTTTAGATCAAGAGGCATTTGGGAAACATGAGAATGGAAGAGGAAATGGCACCTGGAAATAAATGTTAAAGGAAACTATTTTATAATATAGCAGTGTCTGGACTTCTAGAATAGTAAAAAGAGAGGCTGTGGTAAAGAAGATAAAAGCCCTCCCACCACCCAGCTTGCTGAACTAGGGGATGCTTCCTTCTACTCTGTGGTTAGACCCTCCAGATGGCAAAAAATGAAAAGAA